CAATATATATATTAACGAGACGAAGCACCTCTACATAGACATGTGCATTATGAATACAGGGCATCGAAAGCAGGAACGTCCCCAAAATATTTGGTTCCGTCTTTCGGAAGGAGAGGAAATATGTTCATCATCGCCGATGCGAGGCAATCCGGTATCGACATAACCATATAGGTGCAATGGGGTACATAACATCACTCATTTGGAAGATATGGGAGATTCAGAGGCTGGTCAGTGGGGTAATCATTTGGATGGACAATGGGGATATCTGCTTGCAGATTACAAACCCTTTTTGTCGCTTGATAAGATTGACAATGGTGTCGACGCATCTGGAGAAGTTCAACTAAACGTGTGGATCAGTGGGGGTACTGAACAAATGCTACTTTTTAGGATTTGCTTTCAAGATCGGAAGACAAAGTCAGACAAATCAGTCAGCACCATGTTATCTACTAGGTAAACTGCAAACATTTGACAATCACTACATCGGACAGACTGGACGAAAACTGTCAACACGGATCGCGGAACACAAAATAGGCATAATATGATCATATACCCGTCAAGCAATTCGAACTCATAGTGACGGCTTGTCCGCCCAAACGATCGATCATTTTCATTCATTAACATCTCGCGCCGCTCCACTACATACTAGCGCATTGATGATGTCACATCGAGTGGTGACGACATGTTTGCAGAAAATCCGCGGAGCTCAGCGAACCCTTTGATCACCAACTGAACAATCTTACCTACCAATATTTGCTTCTATTTCACGGGGTATTTAATAGTAAGATTTTATATAATCACATCTACATGGAGTAAACATTTGTGAGAACTGGAGTTTTGTTTGAGGTTGTGTCGCTTATGTACTCTAAGATCCAATACATAAGTGAAGATGGGTAGCTTGAGATCAATCGTTGAACAGTTCTGTTTCTGTCGCAACCACATTTACAGTGTCTACTCAACCATCCCCGAGTACATCAGTTGATATCCGATCCGGATGCCGCTCAATTAGGTTTTTCAAACGCGTATATAAGGAGCAGCCTGGTAGCCGGTAACATTCATTCCCGGGTTTACTGTAAGCTCATTATCTATTTGTAAGATTACTACTGCGCTGTGATGTTATCACCATGATTACTGGTGAGGCACCTGCATTCGAATTGCCAGGCTCAACGATCCAGTCAACTCCCCAACACTTAACCCGAAGTACCAAGCACATTGGGCTGTTCAAAGCTCTGTTCTGTTCGCCGTTAGGGGTATTTTGCCTGCAGCTGGATCTCCACACAATATCTTCTGCAGAACTTCAAGTAATCCTCATCAGTACGCCGGCACACTGCGCCGACGCTTCACTGCCATGCGACGGCCACCGGTCACGCGTTTGTTGAGTATACCGCGAGGGCGCCCGCCTCTACGGGGATTCGAACCGGTGACCTAAGGATTACAAGCTAGCAATGCAATCCTTTCGATCACCGACCGAATGCCTACCAAATGACGTCCTTCGCTTGTTTAACCAATGAATGTTGGCATTCTTCGTCACGGATCTGTATGATATGCCTATCGGTCTCAGCGCCTGTTGTTTAGTCGGCGCTTAATCGAGTTTGTCTATAGGCCACAAAAGTTTCCTTAAATGCACCACAGCTTATATTGCTTGCACTACGATTCACATCAATCAAGGAATATATACTTGTTCTTGTACATTGTCGTTTTGTATTTTGCCACCAGTCTTGGGCCAAGATGCACTTAGTATATCTTTGCAGTCCACTCGTTATCCTCACCGAATAATTTCCCACTTCTGAGTAACACATATGCGCGGAAGGTTCTTGGATCACGTCTTCTTCCTTTGGGTGGCTTGTAATTTATTTCTTCTTCTATTATTATTATGATTATTATTATGATTATAAGGATTTGCTACTCTGGCTTTCGCTTCCACGTTTTATGTATTGTTTAGATTAAAAACTACTTTTCTCTTCACATTGTAACCAACTTCTACCAGATGGGAATCATCCAGCATTTTTTCGCTTTCTTCACCGGGCAAAACCGAAACCTTAGTTCTGACATTCACAAGCCGGTACTTCCTAGCTTCCCACTTGCTTTTACCAATGGGATGAATAAACTCACCTATCATCCAAATGCTCGATCACCATGTTCGTCATCTTCTCTTGTTCTCCCAGGCCCATCTCCGCCAACTCCACGCCGACTGCCTCGTGGAAAAACGCGACCAGATGAAAGTGTGGCTTCTGGTGGCTCGTTCGGTGATCAGCGGAGTAAGTCACGGGTACCCCACTTCTCGTTGTGATACGCTCACACTTTCAGTGTTTGGCCGTATTCTTCCAATGACTCGTATCTCTCCTTCTTGTTTCTGTTTCCTTTTCATACTCTACACAACCAGCATCTTACTTTCCTGATTCTTCGTTCAACCATGGGTCTGATGACTGTGGCCAGATGACGTGTCACGCACCTGCTGACGTGCATAACATTGTTGAACGCCACGTTGAAACGTACAACTTCCTGTTACCTGATTGTCATTGGGTTATAACATCAGAGCCTATTTGTTATACATAGTGGCGGTACCGTAGGCCGTTGCGGCTCACTCACCGTAGGTACTCTTGACTTATTCTCCAATGTGACTCGGACACTCTTCAGAAATCCCCCCAAGTCTGCCCGTTTTCTTATTCCCCCTCTTACCTTTTTTCATCCGTATCGTCGCACTCCAACTCAAGTTTTACCCACCTGTTTTCAATCCCCAATTCTCGGCCCCTCGTCTTGCTTCAATAGTCGCTTGTCACATTTGGCCTGTTGTGTCGCTGTGAATAAAATCTAACCTTTCGTATTTCTCTGATTTCGCCTCACGCAGGTCGTACCGGCACTTTCAGCATGGGTTTCGATACCGCGCTATCTGTGGGCGAAAATGATGATATTTGGGGACAACTGGAATACATGCGGTCCACATTGAGTAAGCCTCTTGTGGTCTGTCTCTATCTGTTTTGTTCTTCGTCCATTCCATTTTTTCAAATCTTGAACTATTCCCGGCACATGCGATCATATTCGTTTTGCAGCTACCTCCTCCTCTGCTTTCCCAAATTCCCAGCATTTACATGTCGATTTTGGAGCACCTCTGCCTCTCCCACTTCAATTTGAATCACGGCTTGCTTAGAACCAAACTGCAGCCCGGTCCCTAAGCGGCAGCAAGATTTCATGTGTTGTGAGCAAAATCTACCCCAACTCCTCTTTGTTCTACACCTCACTCCACACGAGTCGTTTAACTTAGTAGATTTTTCAACCTGTTTCACTGACAGTTTACTTTTCATGCGTTGCTGAGCTTACTTGTTGCCATTGCACTCACAACCGGTGTCATTGGGCTATTCCGATCTGGATGCGGTTGCCTGTGTTTCGTCTACTTTCCGTCAGTTCGTTACCACCCAATCGCCAGTTAACCTTGGTCACTGGACTCGCCTGATACACTTCTTACACACTTCCTCCAACCGTGTTCAACTGCACGTTTAAGTGAACGACGTCCGTTTATTTACGTTTGCTTCTCTTCAGTAACGCCTCTGTCTGACTTTGTGAGTATCATTCGAGCACTGTTTGGATACAGCCACTTATACCTTTTCTCAGCCAATTGCATCCATAGTGGCTGCAAATTCATCCTTAAGGAAATCCTGTTCCTCCATACATCTTTCAAGATGATCCATAACGACTCCAAGGTGAATCCAGAGGGTACGAAGGCCCATAAATGCTTCGTTCCATTTAGCGATAACCCCAAATCAGACACTATCATCCTATTCTGTGTACTCATCTGTTATAATATCTGCTTATTTGAGATTGATCACTCAACGAACAGTACCTTTATCTTTAGAACTGTGTGCGCTCGATGGATTCAACTTGAAAGCGTTATGGACCACCTTGAAAGTCCTACGTAGGAACATGATTTCCCTAAGGAGAAATTTAAAAACGCTATGGATTCAATTGACTAAGAAAAGGTATAGTAAATAGACACGGAGCCATCAAAAACCGTAGAAACTCAATAGTGGTACAGTTATTGCGAAGAAAATCCACCACACAACGCAGAACAGTCCGTGGTTCCCTCTGGGGTTGAAGTACAACCCAGTTACTTAATCTGAACTAGGCTCTATCACCTTGAGCTAGCCAAGTGCTTTTTCACGGTGCTGGCGGTTATCCATCGTGATTCCATTTGTGTAAAGGGTCGTCTTTCTCCGACCTCGGCCGCTCGCTGGTGATAGTCGTCAAACGACGGAATTGAAACTGATTCACACTCTGGTACAAGAGAAATTGACCATATTTTCACCATTATGCGGAAACGGTGTTTACCGGAATTTTTCAGCCATGTGCTGAACACGTCCAACTATATGGTGATCACTAATTGTTTTCATCCCCTGTAGACGTCGATCGACTGTCAAGACCAGAGTATCCAAGCAACATGGCTCTCTTTTCAGTCGAATTTCACTGCTATGCAAATGTCACTGAATAGTCTGACTTCTAGGGATACATGTTTATATGTATGTCTCACATTTTCAACATGAAAGATGCTATTATATGATCTGGTTGACTCACTCCTATTCTCTGGTTTCGATGATCAGCCGCCAATCGAAGTGCTTCCATCGGTTTGCTTCTTTAAATCACCTCACGTGGCAAGCGTTATTCCTTAACAAGTCACTGATGTACGTATTAGCAACACTGAGACGGGGTGGACGTGACTCGCCACTAAATAAAGTCACAGCCCCTTGCTTCACTTTGGTACCGCATCAGCCTGCTGCTCATTTCATGGGGATGCTTGCATTTCTCTTTGCCAACAGACCAAATCAAACGCATATTAACCGAAGAATGAGTCGCCAACTTCCAATCGGTACAATTCCCTGACTTCACTCCGCTGCTTTTCATGTAGGCCATCCGGCCAAAGTCTCGGGGTGGTGTCGCCTGTGTCAACCGATTACTATCATGCGGTCTGAAAAAAAACCATGGATCTCTCGGTGTTGTGTTTGATTTTCTTCTAACGAGCCGACACGTAGCCTACAGGTAACGAGCTTATCTTGTAAGCTGACGACGCGGGTTCGAGCCTGCGTAGAGTCAGGGCGACACTCCCAGTAACCTTATCCCACGTTCAACTGGTGGTGGTTACGCTGCGGCGTAGCGTCCGTACTATGTACCGGCGTACTGCTGATGCCGTTTTTTCTAACGATAACTGTACCTTCAATTTTTTCTCATGTTTTTTGATGGCTCCGTGTCCATTCGTAGGCCACTGTATACATACGTTATATATATATATATATATATATATATATATATATATAAGGGTAAGAGCGTCTCATACCTTGCGAAGACTTATGTTACTTCTGAAAGCCCTAATCACTAATGTATACGGTGGAATATAATCGTTTTCGTGGCCGCCATTGTTAATGTATGGATTAGAAATCTAACCATTACTGTCTGAAAACAACATTGAGCAAGTGCCCGTGTTTAGCCACCTATGTGTGCATAGTAACACCTTCACACCCGATGTTCCAGGGTGTGAGTTTATTCCTAACGCTTCGTTGCGTGTAGTGAAACTGTTAAATCCCACCTGTAGAAGTGGCGAAGACGTATACCAAACTGTGATGGTTAACTTTCTTCATCTTATTCCTGTGTCCCCCACTTTATGGATTTTCCCGTGGTCAGTCATGCCTTTCGTTCCCAAGACGATCCACGAATTCACTGGCATCCCCGTTTGATCGTTTTTCACATTGCTTTGCGATTTTTATCTCTCGAACAGAGTATGCTTCAAGGCAACTGGCGTAGCGAATAAACACCCATTCATTTGACACGTTAACTGCAGGTGGAAAAACACCTCAGTTATGGTGTCACAACATAAAGAAAAGTGTGAAACAGAGGCACGCCGGCTGAGTCACCAGTAATGGATGGACACCCGTTCCGGAGAGCTAGCATCCGACTATTGTGCCGCAAAAAGTCACCTAATGCCTATTAATTGTGCCCGTAGTTGGAGATGGAGGCTAAGCGGGTGGGGGAGGGACTTAGGAACTCACAACGCAATCGCCATTGTGGTCAGTTTCTAGACTCAACAACTGTATCCAACCAAACGTGTTCATCGTCCTTCGGACCCCAACCAGGTAGCCGAGAGGCTCCAACGGAGGCCAACTTCGAAGTAAGAGCCTTCATTCCTCTCTATCAAGTCATCGCTTGGCGACCTCTCCTCTTCTTCCCTCCGTACCCCCAGGGCGCAAACAACACACGTCACGGAAGTCGGTGCATGGAATCAAACTCAACCCACCCCGCGGTGTCTCCATCTTCCCTTCTCATACATCTTTCACTTCACGGAATTGTCATAGAGCACGTTTCTCTACGAATTGCGCAACTGTAAACCACGCTCAAAACATCCTCCTGTTTGTAGAGTGACCATCGCCTCTTAGATTCGAGCAGAAGTCCGTATTCTTTTTTACTTTTTCCTTCTGTCCAATCGAGTTGTTTGTTCGCATCCGAGTACATTCGCTGTTTATTTGAAGAGCTGTACTTGGGGATTACCCCTTCCATTCTCTAGCGCTTCATCTCGACACAACACACAGACACTGTGTATCAGCGCGAACTCGATTTCCTATACCTACCGCGATGCGATGGAGATTGTCGACGCCATAGCACATTCACGCCCCACCATCTATTTTATTGTTCTCACAGTCCGCTGATTATTTTTTAATGAACACGCAACCACCGTTTCCCCCACCTCAATTCACGTCCGTTTGTCGATCATTAATCCCACTTCAAGGTCCTCGAGAGCCCTCCGCCAAACTTCCAGCTGAATCGCGTGGTAGGCTGCTCGTATGTGTGTTTGTGCGCACTGGGACGGGCATTCGACTCTGTGCATGCGCCGCGATTCCTTGCTTCATAGTGCCCCCTGTTCCACTAACATGAATGCGAACTCATTGCCGTCGTATCCCATTTTACGTCCTTGCTTCTATATCTCTGCGTCAGAACCGCTCCCTCCTTTTCAATCGTTCACCCCCTTTCTTTTCCCGCATGTCGGTAGGCGTTGCGATATCCTCACTATATCTACACACACAGCCACCGTTTCAGCACAAACGTCAACACCATAGCACCGCACGATTAATATTCGGAAACTCTTCTTCCCTCTTTTTTCAACGTTTACTGAAGGCCCATGAGTACACCGGTCCATTGAGGGAGCTAGTTTGTCTGGACAGAGGTTACATTTTGCTGACAACTGCGTCCACCCCACACCTCGACTTCCAAACGTATTCTATACGCAGTGAAACAACTAACTGATCTACCTAGTGGGTTAACCCGATTCCTGTCTACTCGTCAACGGCACATCAGTACTTTATTTACTTGCTTCGTCCCAACGCTGGCATAATAGTCGATACTCACGAGATTTGTAACTGCATTGCGAACGGTGCCTCACTAAATGAGTTGCATCTTTGGTGTATTTCTCTGTCGGAATAATCGATCCGAGTTACCATTCATTCAAATCATTTTAAGCCGTCATAGCCATTCTGATGTTGAATCATAGTGGAATACAAATAACCCGCATTTTGGTCTACCAAGGCCGCGTAGTCCCAAACAACTGGTCATCGTCAGAAAATGAGGTGGACTCGAGCAGACAACTTCTTTGACGTCTACATTTGTCCACATGGCCATCAACTTTAACCCATAGTTAAATTAAACTCATGTACAATTTGAACAAACTTTCCGGTTAAGAAACGACAGCAAGCATGCTTCGCTATTACTAGTTGCGAGACATCTGTTGCTTCCCAGACACACCTCACAGCACCAAGATCTCTTAGTTTGGTCTTCCATTTGCTTAACTTCCGCTTCAAACTCGACGATTGACTCCAGTAAACCCATGCCATTGTAACCGCGATATACAAAGTGAACGTCTCCGTCGGGCGTTATACTCGAACCGGTGCAGCCTACTCAGTTGGATTTCTTGACCTAATGATCTGGCCTGGCTGCTGCCGCCTCGTACTAGTCTGCGCACCTCAGCGTTACGGATACCTCGTTACTAAGCGATATTAGTGATGTCCCGAACACAGCGATTGCCAATTGTCTGAGATATTTGAACCGAAGCAGTTGAGTCTGGCCGCTTCCTAAATGACCCAACCATATTGTGGTCCTTGTGGTCGTACGATCCTTGCAATCCACGCGTGTTTAATGGGGCACCAACGCCATTATGCGATTGGACCGATATCAGAAGAGGCGCGTGTCTCACTCAGGTTTTGCTGAAACATGTTAAGCTAACCAGCAGGTGCGAAACTGATATGTTCGTTACTGTATGTTTTGACACCTTGGTCTGTTTAGTCGTATTGTTTAAGTTGTTCTAGTTAGGCGATCTGCATTGCATAATCAAAAACAAGGAATGCAGAGTGCAGTTTATTTCCAACATAGTGAGCCGGTCGTGTAGTGTTTTTCCGGAAGTATATGAAGAATCATTTGATCTTGAGACTACTCTCATTACAATTGCTTCCGAAAATCCTTTACTCATAAGCAAGTCAAAATATTATCCCAAGAAGCTCCTGAGTGCTGCGTCGTACGTAGCTGCTGCTGAGGGAAACCGTGCCTCTGGTTTCCGTCCCTGACCTCTGCGAAACCCGCCAACTAGTTTTGGGTTCAGTCCTTGGTGGAGCCGGGTAATACACGCACTGCTGACGGGTCCCAATAGGATGGAACGGTTGGATACTCAGGGCCACTACGAAGAACCTTCGGTAAAAGTACACCAGCAATTCCCTTACTCATGAAAAAGTTAAGCCATGCTGTCTCGCCCCGAGTTTTTATTAAAACTCTTTAAAATGCACAGTCACACTTGTCAAAGGCGACCACTCAAGGAACCGACTAAAAGTGATCGTCTTGGACAGGTTTTATGCGTAGGGACGTTACTCATAGGAGACATCGTTGGTGATGTTTTTGGCTGGCCGCCATAGCAGGTTGGACTGTATTCGCTTCGTCTCTTGTCGCGTTATCTCTGCACCCCAACCAAATGCCCACATTTAAGTTAGTCGCTACTATCATCCACAACCTACACGGGATCATTATATGATTGGTTTCCACTCACACATCCGCTGAGGCGCATGCTTGATGGTACCTCTCGGGTGTAGAACACTGCGCAGTGCAACGTCAGCAATCACTGCTCTGGTGCATACATACACTCTCCGATCTCCGTGTCGAACAGGTGGCTGTCTGCTCACAGGACCAACATGTAGTTCTCAGCGATTAGCTCCGATTCTTTGTTTCATTAGCACTAGTTGCATGCTCTTTTGAATGTTGTGCCCAGCTTTCGTACTCAAGACCAAATGCCTGTGTGTGCGCTGTTCATCAACTCTTTCGTTTAGACTGCGATATCCCTGTCGCTTAAGTCTACGACTGTCGTTCACCTCAACCCGCATGCACCTCTATATTCCTATACCTCTCCCTGTCTGCTTTTTCGTAAGTTTGTTTGCTCGCTGGTTCCCTCTCCTATTTGTAACTTTCCCCTTTGTCTCCTTAACTCTCGCTCTTCGTTGGTTCATCCATCCATTTGGTACCATTTGCAGCTGATGAAAACGCCAGCGAAATTGTGTCTCCGCACTCGACTACGGTTGTGGATTCCGCATCTCCTGTTATTCAGAGGGTAAGCTTGCGCTGCTGCTGCTGACCCAAATGGGTGTCCTACGCTCTCCTTCCTACTAACCCTTGCATTATCGTCACAAATTGCCCCTTTACTTACGGTAAACCACGCCCCGCACCGACTGACACCTTACTTGTGATACTCCCATAATTGACGGGTTGGTTCGTGCACTTGTACGCTTCTGTCCTCGTACAGTAAGGTAATTCTCCGCACCGCATGTTTCCATCTATCTCTCTAACCTGTGGCATAGCTGTCACCCAACGGCCAGTGATGCTGAGTTGTCTCCCGCTCATCCAGCTCATTTTTCGGATCTACACTCATGATTGGAATCCGGGAAATTGTGATGCCTGACGCAGTCTCTATCATGCTGCTTTGACATTTTTGTCTATTTCATGATTAGGGGGAGTTGATCAGTTAAATTTAGGCGTGCATTCCTACTACCATGTCTTCGAGTGTTTCTAGCCATCTTTGGATTCCCAGCCTGAGTAGAAGTCACTACTTCAACCTATAGCCGTGATTGATGGAGTCTGTTTAGTTGCTGAAATATTTGCCATTAACAGGTTCCCATTGTAGTTAGGAACCAATTTTTTATACCTTTTGTCTGATTGTCCCGTTTGGTTTTTCCTCCACATCTCAACTAAGCTGGCCGCCAGATTGGCTAATCGTCACCCGATGGTTAATCGGATTTTTGTGTGTCAGATCACTTCTCGACTGAGAGTGTTCGGTAGTATGAGCTGGTCCAGACGTCAAGTTGAACACACTTGTTACGCTACCCAATTTACATTCAGTGTGCCTTGCCTTGCTCATTGGAGCCCTTTTGGTTTTCAATCACGCCATGTCATCTGTTACCCTCGATTCACCCAGTTGGCTCGGCACCCTGACCACTACAGTTCTTTGTGTATCTTATTTTGTCAATGAAATGCGCCAATTCCACGAGACGGCGAGCTCGTTCTCAGCTAATACTCCTCTTTAGATCGTCCTTTACTGTGTCTGCATTACCCCGTGGAAGTTTCTTATGCCTTAGCCCAATATGAGGCTTTCCGTAGCAACTGGCTTTCATTGTCGTTTAATCGGAATAACGCTGCCCATCGTCAGCTCTAGCTCTTTATTGGTCGGCGGCTATTCTGCCAGTCTCACTTCATCTTAATTCTTTCGTTCGGGATTTGAATTCCACTGCTTTGGTCCCCATTACTCGAATGCACCATGGAGCGCGAATTTGTGCCCTCTTTTTTAAACCATCCCTCGGGTTAGTCACTTGCCCGCTTTGTTTCTGGTAGTTCACCTCCCCGTTACGTCTCCCCCCACATTCTGTACGAAAAGGACAGTCTTCGTGGCATTTCACACTGCACCAGAGCAGCGTCTACGGGTTCCTCACCTTACCTTCCTTGATCGTCCATTAGTATATTGGATTAACGTCCCAATATCGGGTAATCACGCTTGGCATCGACGTTGGGCTCGTCTTCACTCTTTCAATCGACTCCCTCTTTCTACACGCACGTGTATGAGTACGATATGATGTTCCCTATGCGCCTATGCTTGTTCATTGATAGGAGGAGACCCGTATGTACGGTGAATCTGCTCCGTCCACTGGAGACTGGGACCTCGAAACGGAGAATGTAAATATTCTACGTAAGCCGGTTACCACCGGGTAAGTCACTACATGAATACAAATCTTAACGATTGTCCTCTACTGTAAAGTTGCGCTTGCGTTCCACCTTCACTGTAACACCTGTGTATACCATAACCTATTCCCCGGTGCACGCTTGGTTTAGTATTTGTAATCGCCTCTTCTACGAAAATGCCTTTCGGCGATTTCCTCCGCCATTCTCAGCGTCCGATTCCAAAAAAGCTTTCATTGTGTCCCCGATGGCATGAAAACATCTCATGTTAGACGCACACTCTCAGCAAAGTCATTATTTACCGTACCGTTGGTATTTGGTCCATGTATGCCAACTGGCTAAAATCCTATGGAGTTTAGAGGACATATTTGCCACAACAACTGCAGCCACATCCGAGCTAATGACACTGTACACTTAGTATCAGGTACTCTTGTTGCGATTGTCTCAAACACTGCAACACCGTTCTACCCATGACAGTTGCCCACGCAATCCACTTTTTCCTCATCTTCCTCGTCTTTACTTGGTTTATTGTTGGCAGACCCCCCTCGGTCAACCTTGCGACATGTTGTAGTTTTAGGCCTACCAATTTTATTTAACAATTTCCGCTGCGATTGTTTTCCCCCAACTTGTCTGTCCATGTTATCCATGAATGTGAGTCGGCTACCATTCTGCCTCGCTAACTAGATATTTGTTGCTCTGTTTTGCTCTTTTAAACATCGGAACTTTTACTGTTGAATGATGACGACATGGTACTTTCCCCCTTTTAGACTCGAATTCATTTACTGTGAACCCTCCTTGTACTCACCTGCTGCAGATAGCGCACCTCAGGCGATCGGGTTTTGATGAATAAAATCACCCACCGACCCATTTCATGCCTCGTTTGTCCCACTTGTGTTGCGCTTCGTCAAAGTAGTAAACCCGCGGGAATATGCACGAAGCTAAACGAAGTTCGGACTCAACATGTGATATCGGCAGCTAACTGGCCGTCCGGTAACCGGAAACTGCATCAACTACTGAGCAGAACACTGATTTGTGCTCAGAGTTGCTGTCGAATCCTTACTAACTCCTTACTGAACTCACATTACTCATTCTTAGCAAACCAGATCAGTCACGTAGTCAGCGGGCACCCGAAGCCGCTATGGATTCAACAACACTCATATAGTCGAGCGAATCCTCATTGAAATTGCTCCGCCGCAGTGTTCAACACTGCTCAACATCATACCCTGCTCGATGTGCTGTAGCTGTGTTGTCAATCCTTAATGCCACACAGGTCCCATCACACATCCCTTTTCACCCCTCTCCCTTACTACGAGGAACTGACCTACTGCTGTTAACGGTGAGGTGACACGTCCGACGACCCTTTTCCTCATCACAATATCTGTCAGCGAGTCTACCGCGCTTTATGTGATACACTGATAGTTTGTCAATGAGTAATACTAGCTTGATTGTAATACTTTATAGTGGACGAAATTGAGGCCCAACGTACTGTTTCTTGTATTTGGGTGATTCGACTCGCGCTTCGCTTTTCTTCGGAGCTTAACTCAGTCAACTTTATGTGTAAGTTGTAGTGATCCACCGCTGTCCTCAATGGCTCAGTGGCAGAAACTGCTTGTTAGTTGTGCAAGTCGCTCCCGGTTGAGCTGGAGAATGCGCATCACCGAAGAGCTCTAAGAGGAGAAAACGGCCGTCTGTACTTTTCCAGATGCGTCGTAGGCTTAGAGCGTATTTCGCTGAACTCTCGATAAAAATCTCATTATAGTCTGTTGTAATCAATGCAAGTAGCCTTTTGTTTCCTTGCACCATTACCAATGTTGGCTCTGTTTTCCTTTTCGTCAAACACACACACACACAAACCCAGGTTCCTGGTCTCCTTCGTTGTGGACGCCCGCGGTGGGATGCTTCAGGCTCAGCGTTGCCCCGATCTCCGCTTCTTCATCCCACCGAATGCTATCAACGGCCCCACACGCATTGTATGTCGCCTAATGCATCCACAGCGTGTGCCCTCACGTCCACCTCTGAACGATGGCGACGGTTTCGCTTGTCGGTAAGTGCATGTGTGTTCATGGTAGCCAACGCATCCGACTGCGCTCGATTTGGGATTTCCCCTTCCATGTCATCTATAACGGGGCGCACAATCGGGACATCTACTTTTAATTACTAATCCTTTCAGGTGATCGTCCTATCGTTTTACTCCCCTCTGGATCTTCTTAATTTCATCCTACGATTTTTAGCGTACATTACTGGTGGTTCAAGTATCAACAGGTGTGTCCATCGTACTTCGTTTCTGGGATCATTCTGGATAAACTTAACTGGTTTGGACCGCTGTCTCTTGCGCGTGTGAAGAAATATACATTTCAGGCTTCTCCCAATTTCCTTCGCCCCTATACGTGGCCATGTGGTCACCTTTCGACTGCTCAGCGTGGCAAACACTGCACTGCAATCAGCACACGTCATGTAAGCTTATTTGAGATGGCTGCACTCAGGTTTGAGAAAAACGAACTCTCCGTATGTGCCACCTTCGCGGACCACCTTGTGTCACTCGTCTGGGCTGCCGATTTGCGTGTTGACGAATGTTGGCATGCAAACGTCTCTGTTTGCAATTTATTTTCTACTGAGCACATAATCCCGGAGAGGATGTCAGAAACAAAAGACGGTTAGGCGAACAAGCTTGTTTTCGGTGGTTCGCATCAGGCCAATACACCACAGAAAATAGGAATAAAACAAACACAGTGTATTTAAGTACGATGAATCAATGAAGTGCATTGACCGGTTAATGAGATCAAATGACGACACTGGCTTGGGCGACATTAGTGGAAGGGTCAAGCGTGGCGTCATGACATGGGGAAGTTTGAGGCCATGGTAGCTGTAGAGCCTGTACAAACCTCTTCCGAGTACATAAGTCGGGGTTATGGAGCCGAATAGCGATTGCCTCTGCTATCGCTAATAGGTGACATCGGAGGTCTCGCATGTGGCGTCCAGATATCTTGTAGATAGGCCGGAAGGCCTCTCGCACATTCACTCGGTGATTTGAGTCGACCAAATGCCACAGCACCGCGCTGACTACTGTCTTTTTGACACCAGTGTAGAGCCACACCGGGCAATGTTCTCGGACTCTCTCAGACAGTCGCCTGGTCGTCTTTCTTCAGCAGCGCAGCTCTGTCTTGCGTCGGTGCTTCGCCATTCTCCTTGATCATTGTTTACGGAACCTGTGCAACTTCCTTGTGTGGGCTTTCCTTCCACTTTGGACACTCCCCAATGACACAAACACAATCCAGCCTTCTGGTTGACACCCACATCCTTACCTGAGCTGCTGCATTCGTTTTGCCTGTGTTCAACTTTCGTGTCCCATTCAACACATCATCAACATCAACCATTCAAACTGATACTTTGCTGCCGTACCACCGTGGTAACCTAAGGAATGTCGTATAATAGGACGGAGAGAAGGAGGATCTAGCATACAAAATGCCTTGCACAAACATTCATTGTCAATGTGCCTACACCTTTTCAACCACATACCGTCACAAACAAATGACCACGGTGTAATGACGAGACTACATCGATGAGACAACTCTCTTGTGGCTTTCACTGCCCTGCGTCATAATCAGCCATTACCCTGTCTCAGATGAATCAGCACCAAGTACACTTAAAACAGGCAGTCCGACTAGGAGACGACAGCATACACACCACTACTGCCGATTGCGAGCCAGGTCCTGTAACTTTTCAAGTAAGCATTAGGCAGGTCATGTGAACTCCAACTGCACCGTGTTTGGTTGTCAATGGCTTCATTTCCCTCGGTCAAGTCAACTTTTGTCCACCTCGGGCCTTGTGCCACCCTACAGCCGGCAAACAAAACAACACCCCCTTCGGTATGCGGTGACCAGGCATACGAATTACCTGCCCAAGCCAACGTAACCTACTTAATGCAATCTCTTGTTCTAAGGAATTAGCTTGGTTATTACTACTTAGTACTCGCCTACACATCATCGTTGCGGACACTCTGGTGCCACCCGACACCAGCAATGCTTCACAGACAACGGTGATCAAAGATCTGATGGTGCCACAGGTCCTCAGACCGGAGGAGCCAAGTCTTACTCCCATAGGATGACCCTCACTGTGGCCTTGTAAACACGACCTTTCAGGCGGAGGGACTTCTTATCTTAACATAGGTATTATTCATGAGTTCAAAATGTGCAAGCAGCACCCTCTTTTTCTGACTTCACTAAATATTTGAAGTTTAGCGCAAGGCTTATGAATGCGAAGATTGATTTTCGGTTTCTACTTGATTGTCTGGAGCACAACCAGTTTCTGAATACTTATTGGAAGTCACTTAGAAGGTCTCACTTGCACTTAGACGTCACGCTTGCAATTTGATGGAGTCTGTTCAATTGCGAATCCCGGAGCTAGAACGGCTATGTTCTCGTTACCGCTTAGCTGTTGAAGAGCTTGTTACTATACAACGCGAATCATCCGAGCAATACGTAGAAGGAGTTTGCGAAAAGGCGAAAGAGAAGAACTACGCTAACTTGTTAAAGCGTTGACAACCGACGCAGCCGGAACGAAAATTTCCGCAACACCCAGAAAAATATGTCCACAACTTATCCAGCGTACAACTTAATCAACTACAATTAGAGGCTTTATCACTTGGACCAACATTTTCTTTTCACAACCTGCCAATGGGCAAGTTCATATCGAAACCCAATTCGAACACCTAATGTATCAACTAACTGAACTGACGCTCACATCTTCGCATGCGAGTGATACTTTCAAAACCACATTGCTTCACCCCGCCCAACATTACTTAGGTTGTGAAGCTAAAGTGTCGGACATCTTGTCCAAAAAGCATAGAGACGCCGTCAAAGAATTGAGAGCGAATCCCCAACTGATACTTTCCAGACCATACAATGCTTCTGGTTGGGTATTAATGAATACCTCTGACTACGTCTCCAAGCTTCTAACTACTTCGAAAGCTCCGAGCAAATTTGCTCGCGATGTAGTTCAAAAGGATAAATCCGCACAGGATGATCGCTAAACAGCTGAAGGAGTTAAGACAAGCGAATCTGATAACCGACTCGTTACATGATCGGTTTACTCCAGTAGCATCTCATCCTCCTAGACTATACGGACTTCCAAAAGTGCACAAGCCAAACGTATTTTTACACCCGATTATTGTCATGTCTTGTTCCGCCTTTCACTCCGTCGCTAAGCGGCTAGTGGAGGTGCTGGAGCCAGTGCGCAAGGAACTTTCTACTCACTCACTAAGCGACTCTCTTGAACTCATGAAACACGTATAGAACCTGAACGTGCGTGGCAAATTCATGCTTTCATTCGATGTTAAACCACTCTTCACCAACGTCCCACTGCCACAAACCGTCATATTTCTTTGTGATTACATTACCACCACCTTGGGATTCCGCCAAGCACAATAAACGAACTTATTTTACGATGCACCTCTAACATTCAATTCCCTTTTCATGGAATCTATTACAGGCAAATTGACGGTGTGGTGATGGGGGACCTCCTAAAACCGCTCCTTGCTGACCTTTTCCTGGCGAAGCTTGAACGGGGACCTTTGCGACCGGTTATCTCAACGTTTGCTTCGTATTTGCGATAGATGGATGACACTTTCATTATTTGTGATTTCGACAGAGACGTTTCTCGTCTCTTAGCTCGATTCAACAGCGCACATCCGACGTTGCATTTCACCAATGAAATAGAAAGCGATGGAAGACTGGCATTTTTGGACGTGTTGCTGAAGCGACGGAACGACAGCTCTCTGAAGAGAAGCGGTTTCCGGAAGCCGTTATGGGCAGGCTGATACACACACTTTTTAAGTTTTGTGCCCTTGCAACACAGACGGCACTTACTGCGTTGGTCACATTACCGTGCCGCTGCAGGCCGGAGACGCTGGTCGAAGTGAAGCATCGTATCTTCAGGATATGGCAAGAGAACGAATACCTCGTTCAGTTTATCAGAAACATGCCACGATTCGTCTGCGCTCCCAAATCACCTTGACTGTACCAAAAAAGGATGTGTTTCTATCACTGCCATTCAAAGGAGATGTTGCCTTGGATTTAATGAAAAGGTGACTCTCAGCCACAGTGTCCAAACCTACCCATCTGGCTATCCACATGTACTTACTCAGACCGCTCCCTTTGTTACCTCGCGTCTCAAAGACAGACTCCCGGCCTTGCCCCAGTCAAGCGCCTTGTATCAATCTACTTGCACCTGTGGTGCAAGATACCTCGGGCACACAACCAGGCGTCTGTCAAAACTGGTAGCATATCACTCCCCAGGCTCGTTAAGAAGAGGCATGGGCAGAAACATATAGTACCATCATGGAACATCTGATCCTAAGCGGACACGAAGTTCAAACATCGGATGCGTTTAAGATCTACTCTGTCTCGCCACGCCCTCCGAAGGCTCTCAGAAGACGTTCCTTGCTTATAACTGAAGCAGTTTCCATCAGACTGACCCAGCCCGGGCTTTGCAAACAGCGAGCCCCTGTACAAGAGCTTCTACTACCCTGTCCAAAACTCGCTCGATTTGGAGCACCAGCGTGGACTCCGATCCCGCTCTCACTGTTGCCGACTTGTGGGCGCTTTTCGGCAGACGTCCGCTATGTCGCTCTGAGCGCATTGACACCAGTCAGCTGGCGAAGCCAGGTGTTCTGAATCTGTATCAAAGTGCGCTGACATCCGGGCTGAGTAAGCGCCCACTGAACACTGTCGAAGATCACTGACCGCATATTCGTCAAGCGTTACAAACAGCAGGCATGTCTTCATGTGGCGAATCAAATTGCCAACCTATACATTGGATCTCTAAAAAGTCTCGAACTTATGGATGCTCGCTGACGTATTCCGGCTGGAAGCGATTACAGCGAGACTCGCAAAAATCTCAAGGAAATACTGTGTGCTAACCTGAAGAGAGACTGCGAAGCCTGGTGGTCTCATCATGCATCGGAGACGGAAACAGACGCTGCCTTTTATAATCATTGTAAATTGCGTAAATGAGTACATTTTGACAAATAGTATAGGAATTTATGTGTATTGACATGCAAAAGTATGTTTAACTGTGTATTTGGAAGGGTCATGTTGGGTGAGTATGTAAATGTGACTCAGTGTGTTTTTTTCGTTGTGTTCACCATCAAAGGGGGAGTCAATGGAACGCTTTGAAGCGGATCACGTTCGTGATGTGTGAATGATGCTCCGGAGAAGGGAAGAGGCAGTGACTTTATTTAGTGGCGAGTCACATCCGCCACGTCACAGTGTTGTTAAACGGATATCTGTGGTTTTTTATGGGGAAAACGCTTGCCAGGCGAAATCCCACCACATCCTGGAATGAAAAATGAAATGTGTCAGCTTATACGCCGTAACGGCGCTTCGCTGCCGCGCGACCACCACCAGTGGCGCGCGGGCTGAGTATACCGCGAGGACGCCCACCCCTACGCGGATTCGAACCGGTGACCTTATGGTTGCAAAGCAAACCATTTGCTGGAACGGGATTTACCCGAACCACCCAGCTGGCACCACGAGGAGGTTGTTCGGCTAGCCAGCCAACCTGGCTATAATCGTCGAGTGGTCACTCGCTCCCAGAGGCTCTAAGACTTGAATGTCAAGCACACGTTGCTCACAGCTGGTGAAAATAAGGTCTAAGCACGATGGAGTCGCGCGCGCAATTGTGAATGTCGGTTGGTTGATGTGCTGTGTGGCCCCGATTTCAAATATTAACTCCGTAAAATTCCTCTCGACTTCACAATGGCCGGGGATAAGTTCAACCACAGGCCACTGTATTCGGGGTACGTTGAAATCGCCCATGAATAGGAACATCTGACGACTCATGTGGTTGCGAACATGCGGCAACCAGTCCAAACTGCGGCTCAGTGGACTGCGATATACCACGCCACGAGCATCTCGCAGCGACTGAGGTGGAACGAACGCCATAACTGCTCACACAGACCACCAGAGCTTCGGTAGGCGCTCGCTAGTCTCCCACACAAAGAAGATTTTATATAAAGTAGAACGCCACCGCGATCACTTAATGGTCTATCACAGCGGAAACATGAGTAGCCGCTGATTTCCACTTCTTGGGCGGTTACGTCTGAGTTTAACCATGTCACAGCAATGCCTAATACGTCTGGTCGCTGAAAGGTTACGAAGTAGTACAGCACATCGCGTTTGTTCATCAGACTGCAGACATTAGTAAAGGCTACGCGCAGACTGTGGTAGGAACAGCTGGTCGCGCCTGAAGCATCAGAAACCTCTTGACCCGGATTCGCGGAGGAATCCGGGTAACTACCCAAAAATTTACAATACGGAGATTTGTTTCTCCATCGTCCGTGCGTCGCTTTAGTTCACTCATCGCAGACTTGAGTTTCTCTCTGTCTGCTGGGTCTAAGTCAGCGCGCACATGGATCTTTAGACCTTTCAGCCTATTAATACGGGACACTAGTGACTTAGGACTTGCCTCTTCGACAAAGTCACCCTCATAGGTCGACTTTTGCCCTCGGTTCTCCAACTGAAACTGTTTGCCGCCTCCCAGCAGATAATTTCGGTGAAGCCAGATCGCTTTGAACTGCGCCATCCCTCCACCCCCCAACGGCTCAAACGAAGCTTGTGTAATTTTCTTGGAACATAGTGGCCCAAACGTATTTCAGGACTGCTGCAATTCACTGTCATTCGGAGCTTTTCATGAGCTATTCGAAACAGAACAAAGGCTGACAATACGCGAACGCCGGAATGCCACGGATAACATACCGTGTTGAATTTGCGATAAGAATTATTACTTGGACCAAACGGAGAGTGGGCTATTAGCAAGCATATAGTATTCCACCGAAAGTAGTGGACACTGTCTTTGGACCAAACGGAATTTCTTTGTCACGGTGAAACCCGAATAGGAACAGAAGTCATCGTATCCTTTTCTCCACGAAGATTTCATTTCACCTGTGCATAGATCTTCATTCGGATTAGTGTTGCTATCTGAGGGACGCTGAGACTGATCGCATCTCCATCCATGCAATGTGTGTATACTCGTATAACATGATGGCCCTGGTTGTTCCCTTTGTTGTCATGTCACTGGTCTGTTTGTTTGTGCGCGATGATTTTCGGTTCACTCAATTTCTTTCTACCCTAACATCTCGGGTCATATCGGTGCACATCTGTCGCGTCCGGCCTCCTAGCGTCGTCTTGTTCTCCTATTCCCTACGCATGAGTTAATCCATGCTTCCGCTGGGATGAGCCACTATCCAACCGCATCGTCGCCCTTTCTCTTCTCCCTTTAGTCTACTGGAACTCAATCCCGTGGGCACTCGATTCTCCGCGCCAATTGTGATGGAAATTCCACATTACGCATTTTTGACTGCAAAGAATCGAGAAGTAATCATTCTCCGTTCTGACAACGGGGAGGTCTGGAAAGAGCATCCTCTGGAAGCCACGGATCAGGCTGTGCGCGACACATTGGATGGTCACTTCGGTGAGTTTCCCAGCGGGTTTCTAACGTGGTGTTTACTGTTCTCAATTTTCTATGTTTTTCAATGTCAACATCGAGTCATCTCCTTATTTACTGACTTGAAAAAATCAATCAATACAATATAGTCTGCCCTTCCTCTTGGTTTCCACTCCAAGTGTCCGCGCGGATTGTGTGCCACATGTGTATGCTATGGTACACGACATGCACTCTCTTTGGGAGCCCACTAGTCTCATGTTCGCTGTTATTCTGCCGTAACAGGGCAAAGCGCATTCGTATCGCCTTAGGCTTGCGCGTGCTACCACACAATGAAGCAACTCGGGAATCTCGCATCATAATCACATAAACGACTCTTGCTATGTTGTTTGCCCTATTCACTCTTACAGCGGTTTCTCATTCGTGCATTCGAATCTGGAACCTTCCCCTTCTCTTCCCCACCCTGACGCTATCATTTGAATTTTGTTTTTTCTGTTACGCTCATGGTTGTATGCAAACGGACACATGCAGAGTTTGTGGATGAGTGTATCGCGTTAGGCCGCATGAGTGATTGGGGACCCTATCCAACCTGGAACCGTCGGTGATACCCAACCATGTCCTCTTGCATTCCGATATTATTATGATACTAGTAATATGTATGGTTCTTATGATCCGCGATGCTCTGTAGTGGTACAGATCAATCTGTAAAACAGCATCCATGCTCTTGCATGAGTGATACGCATATGTGCAATGTGAGGGCATGCGATTCACGTAATAGCGTTATGGTGGATGGTAGAGCCGAAAATCAAGGCTTCATAACGTGAGTGTTTATATAATTCTAGGTCCGTCTTGAAATAGTTCATCGAGGGATATTTCCCATGATACTATACTTATTATCGCATTCAGGTCAAGGTAACTTATGAGTTTGCTACTAAATGTGGAATATAGAGTGGTTTTAGTTGAAGTTTATTGCCGCACTCGATAATTCATGGCAGAATGCTCACCAATAAGATATTTGGTAAACTACCACTGCAGGTGATCCACAGCAATTCTGTCTCTCTTTCTCATGTGGCAAGCGTTCCCTCTATAGAAAGCCCTCTCAATATGCCACCAGCATCAGCTCATCATACTATGCGCCAGACTTTTAATCGGCAACTCAAACAAACCTTGCATAATGACCACGAGATTTTGTGGTCTCAGCGCGCCTCGGAGATAGAGACCGCTGTTCTCCGGCAATTTTCTTAAGCTCTTCTAACTCATTCGGTTCCCCGGCACCTGAAGGCCTTGTGTCAGCGGATGGATCACAAATCAATAACCCGCAAAGACGCATAAAGCCTAGGGTTGAACATTTCCACTCCCAATTCGCTCACCATCCATTGTCTCTTTGTATGCCAACTACGCCCAATTGCATGCAGAGATTTCCGTCGAGATTCAACACCTCAACAGATTCAAGTCTCCCGTCTCGGATGAAGTTCCTCCGAAACTGTTCAAGTTTTTGCAGGCCAGCACTTATCAAACGGTTGACATCGCTGTTTTTCTAGAAATATGCTCACACACCCTGTGCTAATCACAGGGGAATCAGTTTCATGCGGGTTGCCTCCAAATTGCTGACATCCATTCTGCTCCGATCCGCGAGTTACTTTACCACAAAGAACAAGCTGGCTTTCGTCCGTGTTGGAGTATGCGTGGACCAGATCTTCACGCTACGCCAAATCCTTGAACATCGTGACCTATACCACAGGCCAACCATTGTCATCTTCCTGGACATTCGAGTTGCATTTGAATCGGTCGATCGGTCTGCTTTATGGCACTGTTTGCTAAGAAATGGAGTATCCGAAAAGTGCACTTCCATCATTCGGGCGCTTTACTCCTAACTGTCAGGCATAGTGAATGTCTGGCAAACTTTCTTCATCCTTCGCTATCACTTGTGGTGTGCGACAGGAGTGCCATTTGTCTCCATTCCTCTTCAACTTTACAGTTGAGGACGCTTTGTTAAGATATTTTAGAAGCCCCCCATGATCTTGGTGTTAATCTTCTTCCTGGCAATCACTTGACCGACTTACTTTCTGCTGATAATATCGCTCTGCTCGGTGACGATTCACAGAGTGTACAGCTCTTTTGTATGTCTGGTGATTGAAGCATCGAAGTATGGCATGAGCTTTTCCACTCCTAAAGTGTAAAGTGCTACTTCAGGACTGATACTCATCTGCCCCTCACTTACCATTGAAGGAATGAAGTTAAAGCTGATGGACAACTTTATCTACCTCGGAAGCTGTATTTCTGCTGATGGCACTATTTGGAAAGAGGTATCATTTCGCATCGCCAAAGTCCGGTTGGCATTTGTCTTCTTTTGTAGTGTCGTCGGGACATATCCCTCTCCTTACAAGTGAGGGTCTACAACGCTTGTGTCCGCGTGGTCCTATTGTGGAGAAGTGAGTCCTGGCCGATTCGTATAGATGACATGCGTCCACTTTCAGTATTGACAATACATGTTTGCGGAAGATAGCGCGTATGTGGTGGCAGTACCGAGTTCACAACAATGAACTCCGGTGTCGCGTCTTGGGAAACATAAGCCTTCCACTTTATCGTCTTGTTGCAATGCGTCAGTTGATGTGGCTTTACCACGTCCAACGCATGTCATGCGATCACTTACCATGCTGCGCCTTGTTTGCTCGCACGGGATTGCATTGGAGGAGACTGCATGGAGATCAGCCAACTACTTAGCGGCAAACCATGAAATCACTGACTGCCTGTCACGCTTCTTCAGCATTGTACGTCTCCCCGGTTGGGGCTCAATGATGAGGATTTCCAATCGCTCGACACGTTTGCTGATATGGTACGAAACCGGAATCAATGGATGGACAGCATAGTTACATGTTCTGATCAATGTGATTAGAGCTATATCAATCCAAAATGACAAAGCAGGACAAAATGGCGTATGAATTAAAGCCAAGACGGCCAAACAATTATTTGCTGTTCCTGACATTTGTACTCTCCTTTTCTAATTTTGTTCCTCATAGCTCGATGTCCATTTAAAGACTGTTCGGCGAAATTAAAGATCGATGCGTAGCTAAAGTTATTGATATTATATCCTGATTAGATTTTCCCCGTTTTCCCAACGTCTTTTCTTCTTCCTCTTCTTTCTGCGTGCTACTCCACTTTCGTCGTCCCCGATGGATCGCGAGTCGCGACAGCTTGGTTTATCACACGACCCTCCTGATTGAAACTCTGTCTGAAGCGAACTAAACAGTGGGCTCAGATACTGTCATATAAACCACCTTGTACACATTCGGATGTTATCTATTTGTGGGTTACAGTATTCACAAGGTTTAGATGCCTTCAACTCGAATGCTTGTTCTACTGTAGCGAATCACCAACAGAGAGCAGCGATGTGTTGTTGTCAGTGCTATTAGGGGATGTCCTAACATGGGCTACTCCGACATACAGATAAATGAATACTATACTTGTAAGCCGCACGAGATCAGTTTGTACAGTGCAACCGACTTTGTAGGAAAATCATCGAGGCCTCAGCCTTTTTTCCATTGCCTCCAACTTGTAACGGATATAATTCTTCGACCACTTACTGAACCACGTGCGAACCGGATCACTGAAAACCAGTCAGGCTTCTGTCCTGTTTGTAGTTGCATCGGCCACACGTTCACTCGTTTCCAAGCGTTGAAGCAGGGATACACTTACAGACGACTGACTATGGGGGTTTTGCTTTACATGACAACCGCCTTCAACTCTGTTGACCTCGCCATCTTGTGGCATTGCCTATCCATGAAAAGCGTGTCAACTAAACTCCTTTCCATGCTGAAATCTTTCTGATGATTTTCGAGGCCGTGTAATAGTCTACTGGAAACTCCTTAGTTCCACACGACAAGTGGAGTTCGCCAGGTTGTCCTATATCTCCTTTCCTCTCTAACTTTGTGATCGAAACGAGCATGAATGACTTGGTTCTCTCAGACTGTACCGGATTGGAAGTTCTGCCAGGCGACCGACTGACAAACCTGGAGTGTGCGGACAACATTGCTCTTCTTGTGTGTGACGCAGTGGCTATACACACACTACTGCACAGACTTGTGTGCAGCGCTGCACGTTTCAGCATGTACTTTGCACCTTCAAAGTGCTGTTGCAGGATTGGGTCGTCACACCTCTGGTTTTAGCTATCACCGAACAGCCACTGGAAGTGATGGATCCGTTCATTTACCTTGGTAGCTGTCACCTCTGGTGGTCACATCACTGAGGAAGTTACTTGGCGTATCGGCGAGGCCCATTTGACTTTCCAACGGCTTAACTACTTATAGAGGCTGCGGAACATCAGCTTGTCAGTGCAAGGTAGGGGGTATAATGCTGCTATAAGGCCTGTGTTAGTCTATGGATCTGAGACCAGGCAAGTTCGCAGTGAAGATATGGAGTGATTGACCGTGTTTTGTAACCGCTCACATCTGGTGGGAACACGGAGTGAGCGATGCTGAGGTTCGCCATTTGATTTTTCGTAATAAGCCTTCTGGTGCCTCTCTCGATTGTCTGCTGAATCTTAATTGCCAACGTTGGCCAGGTCATGTCCTACGTATGCCTGTTGATCGACTTCCTCTGTGTGCATTATACGCCGTGGCCGCACCAATTTGGGCAAAACCTCAAGGTGGCCAGTCCATGATATGGCATAACAACATGAAGAAATTGACTAAGAGATTTGGTCAATCTGGTGCGTGCCGTCTTCGTGGATGGGGACCTCGGGACGGTCCATACCGTATCAGATATGGACAGTCAGTGGCGTTGCTGCATTCGGTTCCTTGTTTCTAGCCCTTAGTTTCCATTCCATCTTGATTATTTTAGCGCACTTCCCTCCTTATTCCATTTAGGGTGTATTTGCACTCAAGCTCATTTTATTGTCGTTGTTAATCTGGCGACGTATGTTGTGGCACTTCGACTTAGTTATTCAACTGAACTGAACTGCGAGTGGTAGAATGAGTGTAGGTGCTTGTCGCCGTATTCGAGCAGTCACATGGAGGCAACAGTTTTTGTTT